TTGTCTTTTTTTGAGACAGGGTCTCCCTGTAGCCCCAGCTGTTCTGGAACTCACTATGTAGACCAGGCTGGCCTTGAACTCACAGATATCCGCCTGCCTCTGCCTCCCAAGTGCTGGGATTAAAGGTGTGCGCCACCACGCCCAGCTTATGTATTTTTGACACCAGATCTTGCTATATATCCCTAGCTGGTGTGGTAGCTGGCTGTGTAGCCCAGGATGATTCCAAAATTGGGACAATACTTCTGCCTCTGCCTCCCAACTGCTAGGATTCCTTATGCCTATCCATGATACACAACTAGAATATTTATGAAGATGGGGGATTGTGGGGGTGGGTTTTGTTCACTTCTGTATCCTCCAGCACCTAGATAGGTCTAGCCTATAGTGAGTGCTCAGATATTTGGGAAGGAATGAGTACTTAGGAGGAGCAGAACATCACTTGGGACACTTTTAATATTTTATTACATCTTTAATTTTTTTTTTTTTGGTCTTTTTGAAACCATCTCCCTGTAGCCCCAGCTGGCGTGGAACTCACTATGTAGACCAGGCTGGTCTTGAACTCAGAGTTCCACCTACCTCTGCCTCCCAAGTGCTGGAACTACAGACATGAGTCACCATGCCAGGCACATCTTTAATTATTAAAATTTTTTTGAGACAGTCTCACTACGCAGTCCTAGCTGGCCTAAAACTCCCTATGTAGATCAGGCTGGCCTCCAACTCAGAAATCACCTGCCCCTGCCTCCCAAGTGCAAGAATCAAAGGCATGAGCTACCATGCCCAGCTACCTTTCTATTTTTTCTATTTTATATATTTATTTATTATTCATTAATTCATTTGTGTGTGTGTGTGTGTGTGTGTGTCTGTCTGTCTGTCTGTCTGTCTTGTCTATGTATTCCTGTGGAGATCAGAGGACAATTTGTGGGTCAGTTCTCTTCTTCCGCCGTGTGGGAACCCAGGGATCAAACTCAAATGTCCAAGCTTGGCAACAAGTGTCTTTACCTGCTGAGCTGTCTTGCCAGCCTGGAACTACATGCATGATCTTGTTTGAGTTTTTTTGGGGGTTTCCCTGGCCCCAACTGGTCTGTAACTCTTAAGAACTTCTGCTACTTCCACATGCTAACTAACATTCTAAAGATGTGATGTGACAGATTACTGGGCTAGAGAGCAGTGTTTGTATATTAGCTGGGCATGGTGGCTCACACCTTTAATCCCAGCATTCAGGAGGCAGAGGCAGGTGGATCTCTGTGAGTTCAAGGCCAACCTGGTCTATATAGTGAGTTCTAGGCCAGCTGGGGCTACAGTACCCCCCTATCATGCATTTCTGAATGCTGGGATTAAACACATGTACCACCACACCCACCTTCAGTTACTTTAATACCAATTTTTTTTTTAAATCTTATATGTGGGGCTGAAGAGATGGCCTAGAGGTTAAGAGCATTGATTGCTCTTTCAGAGGACCTGAGTTTGATTCCCAGCACCCACATGGCAGCTAACAACTGCCCACAACTCCAGTTCCAGGGAATTTGACACCCTATTCTGACCTCCTCAGGCATTGCATGACATGGGTACACTTACATACAATCAAGCAATACACTCATACACATAAAAAAATTGATTAAAATTTAAATAAATAAAAGTTTTTTTAAAAAGTGTGTGCACACATGCATGCATGCATGCATACATGCAGACACATATGTGGCGGTCAGAGAACAACTCGCAAGAGTCATTCTCTACTTTCACTACATGGGGCCTGGGGATCAAACTCAGATGCCAGACTTGGCAGCAAGCATTTTTACCCACTGAGCTATCTTGCTGGATCTAATTATTTTTTATTGTATCTCCTATGTACAAAACTTGTGTTATTCCCACAAATGGAGGGGTTTCATCAAAGAGAGGTGAATCAGATGTATTCTCTGTTTCCCAGAAGTTTCATAGACTCCAATGATAACACAGCCTAGAAATAATATACTTTAGTTACATCACAGTAGGAAGGGGGTCAGGACAAGGGATCTCTGAGGTTTGAGGGCAGAGGGACTTTCTTAAAGAGGATGGGTTAAAGCCAGGCATGGTGGTGCACCCCTTTAATCCCAGCACTTGGGAGGCAGAGGCAGGCAGATCTCTGTGAGTTTGAGGCCAGCTTGGTCTACATAGCAAGTTCCAGGCTAGTTATGGCTACAGGGAGACCCT